ATTTTCTTTGCAAGCTTCAGATTGTAATAATTTCTGGAATCTCCAATAATATTATACAACTCGAAAAGATAAATACTTAATACAAATAAGACATTAATAACAAAATTAATGTAATAAAATCATCACTGAATATTAAGAAATAAAAGGCATTGGTTAGTTTAGAAAACAATAATAGCAAGTATATATATTTTTGTTAGGAACTAATCATATTTTTCTAATATGGAAGATCTATTTTATAGCAACTATAGAGCATACTGTTAACGATATTTTTAATCAAATAAAGTATAATAAATTGATTGAATAATATCGTTACACTTATTGAACTTATTGTGCTAATGACGTATTATAATTATAGTGGCGTAATTAAAAGAAAGTAAATTAAAAAGAGTTGAAAAATAATTATAAGGGATTTAAGGAAACACAATCTAATTTCACTTCTTGTTCGAATGTGTGTGAAATACATTAGCAATGGGCTGAATTGATACTAAATCACTGCCGACAAACAAACCCTAAAGAATCAATGATAGCCACGTGTCAAATGTGTGGGCATATGTGACAACAAAATTGGTGGAGGAAAGACACATAATATGAACTCATTAGAATTTCATGACAAAAGTGGTTAATCTCTGTCATGTTGAGTAGCATTTTTATGGATAAAAAATAAATAGAAACTAAACTATATTGTTGAGAAACATGCCGGCAAAAGCTGCTTAGATATTTGAGCAAACTTGGATTTGTAGAATACCTAGACATTCTCTAACGAAAGTGTAGCCAACGCATGCAAATATTTCATATAAAAATGGCTACCAGCCCAAGGTTTTGCTAAAGGCATGCAAAGCTTTAAAGTATTCACTCCGCTGTATAGTACCAAAAGTTAAAGGTTAAAGATAAAGAATTGTTATAAAAAAAAAAAAAAAAAAAAAAAAGCAAATTCCACTAGCGAAAGATTATTTTATTTTATTTTATTTTTAAAATTCTAGCATTTCATTATATAGGATCCTCATTTCTTATGCGGAAATTGTTGTTAAAATTAAATTAATAAAATGATTTACGAAAAATAAAATATCCGTAATAAAATACTCAACCTTAACGAAAACAATACAAAAGAAATTAATAAAACATCTTATAACATAGAAAATATCTCACCTTTTACAAATCAAAATACTAATTAATCCAAAAACTAAAATTAAGGCCATAAGAGTACTTTTACCAAACCTCGGGCTTAGATGATAACTTAGAAGGTGCGTTTGATTTAGAGAATGTTGGATTATTGGGAATGTTAGATTATTGGAAAGTTAGATTATCTTGAAGATTACTGAGAATCTTTAGGGAAATGTGTTTGGTTAGTTGAAATAAATTAGTGAATATGTTATATTAATATGTTTGGTTGAGATGAATACAATTGGTGGGTATGTTATTTAAATTACTAAATTGCCCTCTTATTAAATATTAATATTATATTATATTTATTATTAATTTTTGAATAGTTTCTTTAACCACCAACATTTCAGATTTAGCTAAAATACCCTCACTTATATAAAACTTTAATTTATAATAAAATAACCCCCACCACCCCAAGCCACTACCAACCACCGCCGGTTGCCGCCAGAAAGTTGCCAAAGTCGTCAAAAATTGTCAAGAGTCATTGGGAGGCTCTGATATGGCCATTTCTGGCCATATTGATGGCCGAAAAGTCCATATCAAAGCAGATCTAGCTGGAAATGGCCAGATCTATTTTGGACATTTCCAACCAGATATGCTTTGATATGGCCTTTTCAACCATCAATGTGGCCAAAAACGACCATATTGGAGCCTCCTGGTGAGGTGGGCTACTCACGACGACTCCAGGTGACTTCCGGCAACTTCCCACGGTGGTAGGTGGGTGGGGGTGGTGGCTTGGGTGTGTTGCAATTTGTTTTGACTTCAAGGATAATTTTCTTCAAAAAGTTAATTAATTAGGATTAAATAGTAAAAGCCAATTCATGTAAATTAATTTAAAAATAAGGGTATTATTGTGCTAAAATTTTATTAATAAAGGATAAAATTGTAACAAAAATAAGTTTACCTTGGTAATCTTATAATACCTAAGAAAATGGGAGATATCATATTACCTTTAATATTATTAACAGTAACCACTATTGATATTAGAAAATTACTGAAATCTTATATTACTTGACAACCAAACATGGTAATCAAGTAATATAAGATGACTTAATCCTAGTAATCTCATATAACCCCCAACCAAATGCCCCTAGAGAGATACATTTCTCTCAACATATATTAAATAAGAAGTTATTATTGAGCCCCACTTTTTATCTTATTATAAACAAATACACAACAACAATGCACAAAGCTTTTATGGTGGGAATATATATTTTAGCCCTCGTCTAATTTATAATTATACTTAATGCTAAACACATTGTTTTTATTTAAACAAAAAAATAAATTTCTTTTTAAACTCGATTTAATACTGAAAATAGTTCACTAAGCTTATTAGGTTTTTTTGTTTATACCCATTGTCCCAATTTTAAACTTAATTAGTATTTTTTTTTTTTTTTTACAGCAATTTTCTTTAATATCAAAACTGATTAATTTTTTTGTTTACTCTATCCTCCAGTTCAAATTATAGGTTTTTTTTTTTTTTATTTTTTTTTTATACCTCTATTTTCCTATTTCAAACTTAATTAGGTTTCTTGCTTACACTCCTTTTTCCTCAATTCAAATTTGAAACTAATATTTCTTCTTTAGATTCAAATTTATCTGTGTGCGATTACTAAATAATATTTGAAATAAACAAAAAAAAGTTTCAAATTGATTATAAAATTAGAGTTAGAGTTTATGTAAGAATTAAGGTGAAAAATTACAAGAAAAGTATAAAATAGAGTATGGGTTACTTAAAACTTATAATATCATTCTAATAATTTTCACAAGGCCTAAACTGTTAAAAAGAAAAAAAAAAAAAAAAAAAAATAGAAGTAGGGGAACTTATAATAGATGGGAGCTAAAAAAATCACTCCTTGTATGATGGTTCAAGTTACAAGTCTACATCTACATTGTGTTGGTGTGGGCTCTCTTGTAATTAAAGAAGAATGCACCACACCCTTAAGAACACTCATACACTTCACAAATACATAACAAAAAACACATAAAAGCTACTTAAGTACTTAAAGCTTTAAGCTTTAGAGTAAGGGGCGTTTGGATATATAATATTTTATTTAGGGGTACATTATATTAATAGAAATAAAGATCACCTGAAGATATTGGGAATATTTAGAAAATATGGTTGGTTGGGAGGAAAATAAGTGGGTATGTTATATAGATTATAAATCGTCTACTTTTTAAATATTAATATATAGTATTTTTATTATCCTTTTTTAACCCTACATTTGAAATTTGCTAAAAAACACCAGCCCTTATAAAAATTTAGATTTATAGCAAAACATCCCCCTACCCCAAGCCACTGTGAACGCTCGCAGTCAATGGAATGGTGCATGACTGACGTATAGGCGATCGTGCGGACAAAGCCAGAAATGGCCATGGATCACAAATTCATGCTCGAAAACGGCCGGATCTATGACAATTCATGGGCCAAAGATGTGGGTTTGAAAAGGCCAGATCTGTTGGCCATGCCATTTCACGGCCATAACATGTAGATATGGCGTTTCGATATGGCTAGAAAAGGCCTTACCGGCGTACGACCGGCTGAATCCCACCGGTCGTGCACCATTACGGAACTAATACGACGACCGACACGTGGTGAGTCACTGTCGGTGGTGGTCTTGGTGGCTGTGGGTATTTTTGTTAACTTTAAACTTTTTTTGTGGTGGGGTGTTAAGCTAATTGTCAAATGAGGGGGATGGGTAATTGTTGTTAGTAGACATTGGGGCAATTGTGTTTGAATGGTTTTTAATAGGGACAAAATGGTAGAAAATCAGATTACCCCGGTAATGTTTTAATAAACATCCCAACAAGGTAATAGATTAACCCCCATATCACCAACAGTAAACACATATTTGCCATAAGAAGATTATCGTAGTATTTATTACGCAAACTAAAACGGAATCTTGCAAAATAAAAAACGATTATCCCGTATCTTATAAACCCCCATCTAAATGGAGCCTAAGAGTAAGTTATTGGCCTCTTTTACTTATTAGGACCAATGATTATCTTTTCTCTAATTTAATTTTAACTAAATAAACCATAAAATATATTAGATTATTTAATTTGGGTATGTTTGCTCTTCACATTTTTTTTGGGAAATTAAATTTCATTAGAAGAAAAAGAAGAATATACAAGGCCAATCTCTTCGATTTTTTTGTACAATCACTTTGTTTTACTTATCATTTATGTTATTAATCATATTTTATAATAAGTGATGTTTACAATTTTAATGTATTGTAATTGTCTCTCAAAGATTTTTAAGAACTAGTGATTTTTTTTTTTTTTAATATATGATGAATAATATAGCACCTTTGTACTCTAAAAGTAAGTAACAATCAAAGATCAAGTATTCATTAAAAACCTTATTTTAGTGGTGCAAAAATATAAAAGAATGAGCCCAATGGTCAACTAGGATCTTGGATGTATACTAAAAAGGTCCAGAGTAGTTTGATCCACTTCAGTTATTATAGGGGTGATTACTAAGGAGATTATTAGGTCAATTTCAGGACCCTGAGAGATTAGTTCAGGTGTTCTCAAACTGACCCGACACTTCTCGATTACCAAAAACAGAAAAAATAAATAAAAATAAAAGAAAGCATTTGATTATATTGACTAAAAATAATATGTACATATTTGAAAGGTGTAATACGTGGGAAATGGAAATATAAATAAAATAGGTTATGATAAAAATAGGTGACGTTTTAAATAAATATTTATATATATATTAAAAAAATTAATTTAAGGTAAATTTAGAATTATCGTCTAATAACAATTGAAGTGGAAACGATTAGCACCTCTCTCAAAGTAAACTAGAAATCTAAAACCCAAAGTTAACATTGTTAGACTCGTCACTCTATCTCACGCCCAACAAATGAAAGCCTTTAAAAAACTCTCTCGGCCTAGCCTCTTACATGTTCTGCCCCTGCACACTCCTCTCTCCAACAATGAGAAACTCTCTCAAATACAAAATGTAGGAACTAATTGCAAAGATAATGTTTAGTGGATTTTACACGAACTTTGGCATTTAAAAAAATTCGCACAGAAAAAATAAAATAAAAAATTGATGGTTGAGGCATCACGCTCGTCAATTATCCATTATATCTTGGGCAAGGCCACTGATGATGACTTAATTATCTGATCCACCTCCTTAGGTCATTGGTGGTTGAAGGTGGATAAATCTCGTCATCCATGCTGTCATTACAGAAAGACACGTTGGATCTCTGCTCCTGGTTGCTATGATCACTAAGATATGTATCAGGATTTGGGAAAGACAGGCGTTTCTTCGCCCTCTCCGAAGTTGAATGCCTCTGCCTTGGTGCACTTTGTGACCTAAATCGTGCCCTGGCAGATGCAGTCGCTACCATGTAGTTTGGAACTGTTGCCGAATGCACTTGAAGTGGCCTTGTTTCAGTTGGCGATGGTGTGATGGGTGAGCCTGAACGGAGAGGAGAAGCAACCGAATATGAACTGTGTCTTTGTGGTTGGTAATTATGTTGTAATTGTGATTTCTTGACGTAGGAGTGAGGGCGAGAGGTATCAACTTCAACAGTTTTTATGGGCTCACTTTCTCTTTCTCTTCTTAGCCATCCACTGGGACCCGGTTTCTCATCAACCTCTTCTTCACTTTGAACGCCGTCTCTCCAACTTCTCCATATCTTTTTCAAACCATGAAATAAGGAAGTTATAAATATAATTTAGAGAAGAATTTAATTAATTAATGTTAACTGTAAAGACATAATTAAAACCTGTTGAGAGAAGGCATAACCAAGAGCTTTTTCACGTTTCGAGGCAACTTCTTTTGTCTTCAGGGGGTCAGCATCCCAATGGAGCCAATCATCTGCATCTGCATTACTGCTTTCATCTCTAGACTGGAAACACAAGAACCAGTTGAAGCTCGCGCTATCTTAAGAATCAAAACTAATTACGAAGTAATATAGGAAAATTAAATCTCTTACATTAATAATGGATTTGTGGTCATTAGTACAAAGCTTCATGCGCTGATGACGCACCCGAGCTTGTACACGAACTAGAGCCTGCATGCATCGAAGAGTCATATTTGCTCTCTTTCGAACATTGTGGCCTCTAACTAATGCTTGCAGTTTTACCACCGCCTTAAGGGCACGAAGAGCTCTCCTTGCCTTCAAAATCACACCCATTAATTAATTTACCATCTTTAATTTGTAAAAATAAATGAAATAAAAATAAACTCTTAATTAATCAACTACCAAATATCCTCTAAAAGCTGTCTGTATAACCATGGCTGCCAAGTGCCGTTTAAGCAAAACAGAAGGCCTAGAAAGACGAACAGCCTCTACAGCTGCTTGGGCTGTTGCTACTGCTGCTTCTGCCATGGCCACTGCAATAGCATGTCTTTCCTCAGCTTCAGAAATGTTTGCAGTTGTAGTTATGGTCCTCACTTCACGGTGTTGTGTAATTGTTTCTTGATTCGAAGGCTTCTTGAAAATCCATCTTCTTTTTCCTCTCTTCTGCAAAAGACCACAAAGAAATTAATTTCTCCTGACCCTGTTGTTGAAGACTGAAACTAATAAATATATATTAATAAAAGAACAAGTCTATTGAAAGCTTGACTGGAAATTCTAGACAACCTTTTCTTCTTCCTCTTGTTCCTGCAGATCTTCTCTAGTATTTCTCCTCTTCTCATCATCCTTTGTAGTAGACAAAAAAGCTCTCTTAACTGCACTCAACCAAGAATTTCCTCCCATCTTCCTTACAAAAATGATATAGGAATTAAGTTTTAGCTAAACAGTAAACCAAACAACATTAATTAAACTTGGGGCTTCATTTATAGGATGCTTCTTCATGAAGTAGTTGGCATCTTTAAATGCACAAGGCACGGAGACATAAATGTGGTATAAGGGAAAAGTACTACATTATTGTAGCCTGCCACTGGGCGTAGCAAGTCCATGGATTCAGGAAACAGGCCCTGCACTGCAATATATAATGTGCTAACAATTAAGATATATATGCAGCAAAGAAAAGGTGTTTTCTTGTGGCATGAAGAATGCTAATGGAGTGTGTCAGATGAGATGAGAGAGTTGCAGACAACATCAAAGACTGTCCTCGAGAATGATGAAAGGCTGAAGCCAAAGGCTTTTGCTTTGCCTTTACACTAATACATGGTAATTTCTGTAAATAATAACTCTGATGGCTTCACGTGCAGAGCGGCCTACAGTCTAACATTGCAGCTGTTGCTTTATCGAGAGAAAAAGATTTAATCCACCTTGAATTTTTAACTATTACTATTCACGTCTTGTGGTCATTGGATTTACATTTACCCCTTGGGTGCGTTTGGATCGGAGCATATAAGATATCAGGGTAATCTTCGTTTATTTTACAAGATTCTGGTGTTTGGTTTGCAAGTAATAAAATATTACGAAAATCTTTTATTGCAAATAGTGTCTACTGTTGGTAATGTGAGGGGGGTAATCCGATACCGTCGCCCACCCCCAAGATTAAGAGATTACTAGGTAATCTGATTTTTATACCTATTTTTCCCTTAATTAAATACCATTTTGGACACAATTGCCCTCAAATGTTTATCAAATAACAATGACCCCAACCCCCTACATTTGAGAAATTAGCTAAAACACTCCAACCGCAAAAAAGTTTAAAAGTTAACAAAATATCCCTAGCCACCCAAGACCACTGTCGGCCGTCGGTGTCAGTCACCGTAATGGTGCATGACTGACGGTATCTGGCCAATTCTTGGAGTCGATTCTCCAGTGTCTTCAACTTCTCCTCGGCTACAATCTAGCAACATTGAAGGCTGGAGTAAATCTTGAAGGAAGAAAACCACCACGATATGGAATGAAACCATTGAAGAGCACCATCTTTTTGGTCTGTCCAAGGCTGTTGAAGGTCAAAGAGGTAATTTAAGGTCTATTCAATAGGGAAGAAAATACCAATATCATATTGGCATAAGAGTACCAGAGCATGTAGAGTAATTCCTTAGAAAAAATAGTGTATGAATCAATGGAGTATAGGGTAAGGAAAGTGTGGTCTGGATGAAATCCTAAACCACCGAGGCTATGAAGGTCAGTTTTCCTAATGAATTTAGATATGTAAATTCTTACCATATCTTAAGGCTTTTGTGTGCAATTTGACCTTTGCTTTGATACCGGTTAAGTCGATTTATCTTTGACCTTAGCTTGATACTAGTTTGTCGAAAATCAATATACTTATAGCTTGATACAAGTTTTTTATCTTTTTCTTTGTTAGGTTCTGAGTTTCTATTTGGTTGGTGAGAAAACTTGGGAGAAAATAATGTTTGTGTGTATGATTTTGGTTCGTGATTGGCACCCGTTTGGTTCTGGGTTTCTGTTTGGTTTTGGTTGGTGAGAAAACTTGGGAGAAAAGATTTGGGGGTGTAACTTCAAAAATCTAAAACTAGAGTGAACAGTACGGGCACCCGTGGGTCCACTCGTACCTACATAGGGTAGGGTGCGGGTCCAAAATATTGGGCCCGTTTAAATCAACCTGTTTTGGGCCTGTACCTATGAGACCCGCACCCGTTTAGACCCGACCCGCACCTAGTCCGTCTGCCCATTTTGCCAGGTCTAGTGGGTGGGGATGATTTTGCTACAAATTAAAGTTTTATATGGCTGGGGTGTTTTAGCAAAATTTCAAATGTAGGGGGTTAAAAGAACGATTCAAAAAATAATAATAAAAAATAATATTTAAAAAAGAAGACAATTTAATAATCTATATTACATACCCACCCATTTATCTTCCTAACCAAACATATTATTCACCAATTTATTCGAACCAACCAAATATATTTTATAAACATTCCTAGTAATCTTCAAGGTGATCTATTTTTCCGTTAATATAACATCTTCCAATAATAAAATATTATATGATCCAAATTTCCTCTTAACTTACAAACGTTTATAAAGTTTTTTTCATATGGGATAATTACTTTAAACCCTGTAAAGTTTGATCAAACTTTTAAAACCCTCTCAAGTACCAGTAATGATGCAAAACCTCTTGTCGTTTTTTCGATGTTAACAGAACTAACAATTTACACAACTATAAAGGTTAAATACTATTTTTAGCCTTAACCATAAATATTTGCTTACAACAAAGAAAGGAATATTTTTTTTTTAAACTCCCAGAGGTCTGCCCAAACCTTGAGAAACCCTCTCAAGCGTGTGTTATGATCGTGTTACCCCTCATCTGACAATCTTAACGGGATTATATTAACGTCTATAGACGATAGAGAGTTTTATATCATTATTGGTACTTGAGGGGGTCTTTTGGATTTGACCAAACATTAGGGGGTTTAAAGAATTATCTTTTTGTCATATGGAAGTGTATCTTTTGCTTAAAATATTATAGTGTCCTTCATTTTGAGATTTGATTAAATATTAACTAAAATATAATAATGATGAAATAAACTTTTTACAATGAATAAAAGCCAGATTTTCCTAGCCACGCCTTCGCAATGAAACAACCATTTCCCAACAATTTCTGAACTTCAATTCTTCATAAACGCCAGCAACATGGATCTATCCAAATTACTTGCACAATTTAAGAAACATTTATCTTTTTCCGGTTGGAATTTTTCTTATATGGCTTGCCATTGATTGTTAATTTACAGACATGTTATTAAAATCATGAAATTCCTGTTTAGAGAACTTATGAGTTAAGAGGATTGGTAATTACCGAAGCAGTCTATTTATTGATACTTATACATTTCTCTATCTTTTGTTTAGGAAATTTGCTTCTCTATATTTTATATACAGTAACCTACCAAAAGACAGTTCTTATGTATTTTATATAATGGAAGCATGGATTAATTAATAGTAGCCTATTGCCTAGGTAATTTTTCATCCCAAAGGAGATTAATTATTCAAAAGTTGTGTGTTATTGTTGATTGTTTTCTTTAAAAGATTAAGTTCTTTGTTGCATTCTTTATCAAAGGTAAGTTCGTGATATTATAACTTGAAATCTTGTGAGAATAACGTCATTATGATTTTTTTTTCTTTTTTTTTTTTTTTTTTACTTATTCTTGTTTTATTTATGCACATATGGCTATATTAATTAAAGTATTAGAGGGGTAGAAGAAAGAAAGAAGCATGAGGAGACAATTGCAAACTCTAACAGCAAGGCTATATATTGAGGGATAACAGTTGGCTTAGTTTGAGTTCAAACAGAGGGATAAGGGTGCAGACCTTTCATGGATGCAGTTTGGTTTCAGCCAAGAGAAGTGGCATGAGTGGAAAGCTTTTGAATCTACTGGCTCAAAAGAGAAAGAAGAGGATGTTGTGCTTGGCTCTGCAAGGGCTCAACTTGAAGTGGAAAATCCCCAGCCTTTGAACATAATTAGTCCTTCATACATCGACATTGTGGGTGTTGAAACCAACCTTCTAGGCACTCCCCCTGAAGCATGATCCTTTTATTTTCATGTTCTTTTGTTTTTCTAAATATGTGAACGATGGCTCTAGTGAGCCCTTTGTATTTTTGTTCTGTTGGCGACGGTAAAGGCCAGCTAGGACGATTGCCTTATTGGGTTGTGTTGTAAGGTCTTTGGCTATAAAGCCTTATGCTTTTATATCTTTGCACTAGTTCCATTTTCGTACTTAACTACCATAACTAGTCTTCATGCTTGCTCACTTAGTTTTCTTAACTTAGTACATAGGAATTGCAAACCAATAAAAAAGAAGTAACACCAGCTTGCAAAGTCCTTTAAGTCGTAGGCTCTCAAGCCATATCTTGACGACTTTGTGTTAGTATATGCCCTAGGAACCATTCATGTTGTCGGTTCTAGGATATTATATCTTGTAAATATTTTATTAATAAAAGAAAATATTCTTGTTTCACATGTTAATTTGCTGTTTCATTTATATTATTTATATTGTATATGAAATGTCCGGATAATATGGATTTTTAAAAGATCAAATCATCAAAATATTCCATACGTAAGTGATGTTAATTGGACAATAACATTGCATAGTAGGCATGATGAATGCCTCCATTGACTATCATGTGATGGTATTTATGTGGGTGATAATGCAAGTCATATCACTAGAGCATTAGCATGGTTAAACGGTTAGTGAACTGTCTATTGAATATGACCAATTATGATGAATCATATGGACATTCATAATGTGGTCAATGATACAACATAGAATCGTACTAGTGTACCACTGATCCTTAGACTTGAGACATCAAAGTTGGATTCAACATAGGATGCATATGGTTCATATGGTGTATAAGCATGAGATTGGTCATGTCTTATGCAAGAAGTCGATTCGGTCATATGTAATTGTTGAATATTTTGTTAATCTGATACTGTGTGTGTGCACAGTTTTGTCTAAATTGCCTTTTT